AGGGCAACGTTTTCTAGATGTGTATGGAAATTAAGATTCAGGAAATATAATCATTATTCTTTAATTATGTAACTTTGGCTGGGCTCTCAATGCAGCTTGGCAATCCTCTCACTTGTCCCCAAAGGACTTCCTCTCGAGTTCCTCTTGAGGCAGCTGTTTGAAACCTTTAAACTCATGCCATTCTTCTCATGCCCCTCACTCTCAGCCCTTACTTCATAATTTACAAAGACTATAGCAGCTCCAAGCTGTCTCCTTGGACTCCCTTCTCTTCCACCCACAGACTCGCCTACAGAAGCACACATCTTTTTTTTTTTTTCTTTGAGATGGAGTTTTGCTCTTGTTGCCCAGGCTGGAGTACAATGGCACGATCTCAGCTCCACCTCCCTGGTTCCAGCGATTCTCCTGCCTCAGCCTCCGGAGTAGCTGGGATTATAGGCATGCGCCACCATGCCCAGCTAATTTTTGTATTTTTAGTAGAGATGGGGTTTCATCATGTTGGCCAGACTTGTCTTGAACACCTGACCTCAAGTGATCTGCCAGCCTCGGCCTCCCGAAGTGCTGGGATGATAGGTGTGAGCCACCACGCCTGGTCAAGAAGCACACATCTTTTAATATTTCTTCTTCAGTCTTAAAGTAAGAGGGTTTTTCTTTCATCCCACTATTAACTTTTTGGGTTCATTGGATTCTATCTCCTGTGACCTCCTCCCTAGATGTACATTTTTTTTCTTTCTTTTGTCTCTGAATCCCTCTCTTCAGCCTGCAGACATGATCAAATCTAGTTTTCCCCATCTCCTATTGCTTCAACCTCCTCCCAACTCTCATCTTATCTACCTTGGCCTTTTGTGTGCAGCCAGTCTTCTTTTGCTTACCATCCTCCTCCCCACTCACCATGCATTGGGAGTTAGTTAAAGAAGGCCACACCTATTCCCGGTAATCACCTAGGAGCTCATGTTCTGTCCTTTTCTTTTCTCTCCTAGCTCATAATCTTTGTTCTCTATTGCTTGGTTTTACACCCTGTCTTCAGAGAGCTGTTTCTGGATACTCAATTTTTGGTTTTATGGTTTCCTCGATTGTAACTTTCATATACTCCTCATTTAAGCTATGTCTCAACCTTAGTTTTTGGGCCAAAGTTTGGCCCTTTCTGCCAGGAAATGGGATTTTAGACATTTTTCTGAACTATGAAGCCTTTTAAAGTTGTGCTTTGGAGTACTCTTTCTGTTCTCTACAAAAGCACTGTCCTCGTTTCCTCAGCTCCCACTCACTTCTTATCCAATTGAAGCTGGTCTTGCTAAGATGACTAATAAGTCCTCTTTGACCCCCACAAGCAAGATGACTTCCTAATGCTAGATCCAACAGCCCACTGGCCAACACTAGGCCAAGTGGCCCTTTTCCAATTTTCAATATTGTCTCATCTTTTAACACTATCAACTACTTCTGACTTTTTGATATTTTCCAACTGTTGGCTTCCAGCACATCTATCAGTATGCATAATTTTACAGATTATCTACTACTCCAAGTCTTGAGATACAAAGGGGAATGGAACATGGTCTCTGCCCCCACAGATATTACAATGTAGGGTAGAAGAAAGACAAGTAAATAGGCAAATACAATTCATGATGTAAAGTCTACACACGGAAAACACTCACTCCTATGCTTGTGGGGGTTAAAGAGGACTTATTTTTAGACAGAAGCTTGAGAGATGATTAGGAACTATCTAGGTCATGTGGGACCAAGGGTGAGAGTTCCAGGAAGAAGGAGAAATTCTGCCAAAATTCAAAGGGGAGAGGACAGGAATGTTCAGATAACTCCAAGGAGTTCAGTGTGATTGGAGCACGGCGGTTAGGGTGTGTATTGTAAGAAATGGGTCTGGACAGGAGGCAAGGACCAGGTCATGGGAGGCCACATGAGCCATTTTTAAAGAGTTTGGAAATTGTATAAAGGCAATGAGAAACTACTGAAAAATGTTAATATTATACAGAGGAGTAACATCATCACAATCACATTCTGGAAATATCACTCTGGTTGCGGCGCTAATGAATTTGGTGATGGTAAGAATGGTGGCAGGAAGTTGGATTAAAACGTTGTGGCAGAAATCTAGGCAAGATGGCCTTGGTCTGATCCCGTAGAGGGGTAATATGGATATATGGAGGTAAAAATAAATGGTGGGTTTTAGTGATATCAAAGAACAATAATGGAAAAGACTTGGTAATGGATTGAGCTATCCCTTTCAATTATCTTCAGTTCCTTTCTATCCCATTGTGTCACACTTACCCATAAAAATGATAGCATTTCTCGCATTTTATGTTATTTTTCTGTTATAGTATAGGGTCTATAACTAGGACTCTATTTGATTAATCTCTATCTCTATTGCTCAGCTTGATGCTTTGTGGATAACAGATAAACAATCAAGGCTGGTTGACTGAGTGACTCAACTTCCCTGGGTAATGTTTGATATTAATTTGTAGTACACACCTCTGTCAAATTATCTTCCACCCCTCTCACCCTTCCATTCATTATAGAACCATAAAGAATGTTTCCCAGTTTGAACCTTAAAAAAAAAAAACCGTGCAAGTAAAAATTTATTCTTATGTTTAAGCTCTTTATAAATATTTATTTTTAATAATGTGAAGCCAGATACTCTGTCATCCCTTTATTAGCTTTCTATTGCTGCTGTAAAAATTACCACAAACTTAGAGGCTTAATGCAACACAATTTATTATTTCACAGTTTCTACAGGTTAAAAGTCCAGGATAGCTTGACTGCGTTCTATGTTCAGTGTATCACAAACCTGAAATCAAGATATTGGCTGAGCTAGGCTCTTATATGGAAGCTCTGGGAAGGTTCCATTCTAAGGTTGTTTGGCTGTTGGCAAAATTTAGTTCCTTACAGTTGTAGGATGGAAGTCCCTCTGTCCTTGCTGGCTGTCAATTGGGGGCTGCTGTTAGCTGCTAAAGACCACTCATATTTCTCTTCACCTGGCCTCCTCCCTCTTCAAACCAGCCATGGCAAGTCTTGTTTTGATTCTCTCAGATTTCACCCTTTGACCTTGCTCTCAGGTTTTTAGGACTCATATGATTACATTGGGACCACTGGTATAATCCAGGGTGATCTCCAAATTTTAGAGTCAACTGATTAGCAACCTAAATTACATCTGCAAAACTCCTTTTGCCATGTGATGTAATATATTTTTGGGCATGATATTTTGTCATATTCACAGTCTGGAGACTAGAATGGAACATTTTAGAAACTCTATTTAATACATTCCTATTTTAAATTGGGAAAAGTTATATAATAAATTAGACACCCCTATAATGTCATATTGTAAATTAATCAGTAGTGTTGGCCATGACTTTTTCCAGAAAGTGTCCTATAATCTTATCATATCTATCATTTGTTACATACTGAGTTTTTAGATTTGTTTTTTAACCTTTCCACCCTTCTACCCGAACCTACTATGTTGAATGGGTAAAGGATCAGTTTTCAGTAGCCAAGATGCCCAGATAATAATGTCCCAATGATGCAAAATATACGAATATAATTTTGTGACCAGAAACAATTATAGAGACAGATTTTTAGCTCTGAGGAAGGAGAGAGGAGGCAGTGTGAACCTGTTGTAATCATACCAAGCCCTTGTAATTTCTGATCCTGAGGAATGGAGAATCAAAACTTTTCATTTTGGATAATTAAAATTCCTTGATAGCCCCCATATTCAGATATGACTTTTTATTTATTTAATACATATTTAATGAGCATCTGTCAGGTTCTCAGACACTATTCTGTGCACTAGGAATATGATGTTGGATAAGGCATGCCAGGTTCCTGTCTTCTTGGAACTTCTTGTTGCTGTGTACTTTGGCAGACAAAGGAGTAAAATGGCAAAAAGAGGAGAGATGGGGGTGGTGATCTCTTCTCATATGAACCAAATGCTCTTCTCATATGCTCAGAGAGCTTCAGATACCAATTTTTCTCTTTTCCTGAGAGGCAGCTGATATAGTTTGGATGTTTGCCCCTCCATATCTCATGTTGGAATGTGATCCCTAAGGTTGGAGGTGGAGCAGATCATGGGGCAGAGGTTTGAATCATGGGGTGGATCCTTAATGAATGGCTGAAGGCCATCCCTTTGGTAATGAGTGAGTTCATGCAAAAGCCATTTGTTTAAAAAAGCCTGACCCCCTCCTCTCTCTCTCTCTCTCTCTTGCTCTTTCTCTTGCCATATGATATGTCTGCTCCCCTTTCACCTTCTGCCATGATTGTAAGCTTCCTGAGGCCAGAAGCTGAGCAGATGCTCATGCCACACCTGTATACCCTAAAGAACCATGAGCCAATTAAATGTCTTTACAAATTGCTCAGCTTCAGGTATTTCTTTATAGCCATGCAAGAATGGCCTAACACAGCAGCCTTGGATTTGTATGAAGGAGAGACTCCACAGGAGAGATGGCCTTGACCAATATGACCTAGCAGGGATGTAGGTCGTAGAGACAGACAGAGTTGGAAAAATATTCTGATTAAACAATAGTGAGTTTTCTTTTTTCAAAAAGTTTAGCATAAGGACAAAAATGCCTAAAGAAAATGTTTCAAGGATGACTTTAAAAATTCAACTGTCAAAGTCCTAGTTTGATGTGTAGATTATTGGGAACATTTGGTGACACAAGAAATAGTTAATGTTCTTTGCTTTTGTATTATCACCTTGTTTGGTGTACTGAGGCCCTGATGAGTTCCCAAAGAATATCAGGATGTGAATACAAATTGCCAATCTTGTAAAATCAGTTTACCAGTCAAATAAAAAAAAATTCAGACTTGTCTTTCTTTCATACAATGCTCAGAACACCAGTGCCATTGAGCTTGTTTGAGAATAAAGATGAGGAAATTGTCAGTCATTAGGTATAGCACTAGCAAATGAAAACAATATTTGAGAGACCATTTATTACCAATTTCAATTCAGCTTCATTTGTGGATACAAACATATTGTGAGTATTTATCCATTTCTTCTTATTTTTTAGAGAAACAAAAACAGAAACGAAGATATCCATGACACCTAATGTTATAAGGAGAAGAAAGCACTTGTAATCACAAGGGTACTGAGAAAAGGTAACAGACAAATTTATATTTGTGGAACCAGGAATCTTTCTGATGACTTTTGGGAAGGGTGGACATACAAATAAAAATCAGTCTTTTTCTTGGTAAGGATTTGACCCTGGTTCCAAATTAACCCAGGAGTTGATAAGCACAAACCTGGAGTCCAGTTTTTATGCAAATGTAACAACTCTGCTTATACCTTGAATTACTTGTATGAAGTGGGGAAAATTTTTTACTCTCTCTAAACCTGTAATTTTAAAAAATCTGTATGACTTGGATAATAAACCCACTTCCTAGAATTTTTATGAATATGAGATGATGTGTGAACTATCTAGTATGCTATTGAGCATATGGTTTGTGTTTAATCTGTGGAAGCTAGTATTGCTATTATTGTTGTTTTTATAAACAATAGCACTTCTATCTACATAATTCTCAAACTTTCCCCCTGAAGCTCAAGATGCTTTAGTACATTAATTATTGTTAACTCCAATGCACAGATTGAGAAATTGGCAAAAAATTTGCAAGCCACAGAGTGGAGAAAGAAAATTCCAGGTGTCCATATTCCTTGTCATGTAATTTGCCACTGTAATTAGATCTTCTACGTGATGAGACCTTTAGGGGACTGCCTCAGAGTGCTGAATTGTTCAATTTGTTAGAGTGGCACCATCAAAATGACCTGATAATGTTAACACAATTGTCCTTGTACCAAGCAGAAGAATCCTTTCATTCCTTTTCTGCCTGTAGTTCCAGGGCTACACAAGTCCAGCAAAAAGCAGAAACAGTGAATGAACAATTATTTGGGATGATGCTAATGGCTGATGTCTCAGAGGAGGCAAGCACCCTTCCTCAGACAACCCAATTTCTTGAACTCTCAGCCTTCTTTGGTTTAACTTTGAATTGTTAACCCTTTACTGCCTGAAACTGTGTCTAATTCTCTGTGCCTTTGGAGTATGAAATTCCCAGTGTATCATCTGTGTTGATTTTGGTTCCTGTTTCATAAGCTCTGCATCACAGACCTTTGTCTTGCAGTTATCCATGGTCTGGATGACCAACTTCAGCCTTAAAACCAGGAGCAGACTTTTGCAATCAACTTTTGCAAATTCAAGGGGAAAAAAAAGAAAAGAACTGTGTAGGAAAGGAAGGATATAGCTTGATATTTTTACTGCAGTCTCCCCAAACCTCTTACCCACCATGCTTCCAACATCATTATTAATCCACACCTCCTCTGGAGTTTTATGGGCATGTTGAATTCATTGTCATCTCCAGAGAAGAACACAGCATAGTGTGGGCAATTTAAAACCACATTCAGTTGCTTTATTTTGGCCAAAAGTTTAAACATTTTTGTTCTTTCTTTATTTTTTTTTAGTTTGTTAAGCCATTTGCAGAACTACTGCTATAGATTAAACCTGACAGGTCTGAGCACATAGTATAATTATGTGATGCACACATGTGTGTATTCCCCCCTTCCCTACACACACACACACACACGCACATACACACATTCCATCAGCATGTCAGATTTATGGAATTTGAAATGTTTCTTTCTTTAGAGAATGGTATAACATTTACATAAAATATCAGCTTACATTTTGTGAAATTTGACAAATTACTCATAAATCTCTCTTTCTCCCTTAATCTGTTCTTGACATGTCCCCAAAAGTTTTGAGATGGCCTTAGTGATACATCTTATACTCATGTCAAGTATTTTGTTGACATCAATAGGAATTTTACTCATCTAAAAAGCCCTGGATTGGGTTACCAGACACATGAAGCAGACAAGAAGCATTCAAAAGTTGCCAGTGAATAAGAAGTGTCAAAAAAGTCACCACCACAAGAGCAAATATCCCTGGGTATCCATTAAATTCAATAAAAGGAACATATTTGGCAATGTGCTGTTTGACATGGATTTGCAAAAGAGTTTGCCAAATCATTTTTTTCTTTTTCTCTCTGAAATGTCAGTGAAAGAAAAAATAGGGGGATGGTGGTCCCATTATCAGATAACTTCTATAATATTGTATAAGAAAGATAGGTTATTTGATATTCAAGATACATATAGTGCACAGAGGCACCAATTTGGCAGGGAATTGATGACTCTTTCACCAATCTTCTAAGCACTGGCTTATACAAAGCCAGTCCTATGACTTATGGCCCCATTCTTGAGTAAAACACATTAGTTCAATATCTCTTGATTGGTATCTTAAAAAATTGTTTAAAACAAATGTTCTTCTATTTCTGTTTTAGCATTTACTTTGTTTGCATATGACTGAGTCTGTTTCTTTTTGGTAAATTTAATTTGCTACAGTTTGGCCCCTAACACTGAAAGAAAGGCATCCTCTGAGATAGGGCTGCCAACTATGGCAAGCAGCATTGCAAAGCATATAAATTTGCTCTATATACTTTTCAAACTTCTCAGATGCAGTCACTGACATTTGGCCTGATCAAGGAAACCCTGGGGATTGGAAAAACACAAAGCATACTACTGTACTGACATGCAAAATGTCTTATAATCTGTCTTTACCTTTCATGACTGCAGTGGTCTGGATAAATTAGACCAAATTGGGCTAAACACTGTCCTTGGCTACACTCACGTAGCTGTTTTCAACGGCTAATAGGAGCTGTGTGTGCACATCCAAGGACAGGATTTGGCCCCCTTTGTCTTCGCACAAGCAGTTGCTTTAGTTGATACGATTATTCCTGAATGACTGTTTTATAAGCAGTGTTTTTGCCCTGTTTAAATCTTTTTTCACTTTATTCTTCATAGTTAAGACATTTATGAATATGGAAACGCGTAACCTAAAATCTTCGGTTTCTGGAAAAATAAAAATCTCCCTAATAAAACCTGTGAAAATTGCAAATGAACTGGGAAAGAGGTAAAGCAAGCCATATAAACGTTGGCAAAAACACAAGTAACACTGAGAAAATGTGTTAACACTCGTTAATGGTAACAATCTGATTAAAATTTTTATAGCACATCGATCCTTGGCCTTTCAAAAGGGAATCTGTCATTAAATAATATTTTCAAGGAAAATACATGTCACCAAATACATTTATTTATTCAGATGCAAAAAAGCTGAAATAAACTCTCAATGTAACTCCACCCTCTTCCCTCAGAAAATTATTACATAAATCTCACTATTTTCCAGAGGATAAACCTTTTGAAATAGAAGAGAACCAGTCTGACAAAGAAGTTTTTATTACTGAAAATTGCAACTTTGGCTCATCTTTGAATTTTCTCCTAGAAAATAATAAATACAATCAGCGCCTTAAGGTTTTGGAAGGGACTTCTTGCATAAATCAATATAGGGTACGAATAAAAAGGAAGACACAATAATTTCTTGACTTTTTGAGGCATTTGCAAGGATTAGCTCATTTCCTTTGTGCTTTGAGTAAATCATATTTATAGTTCCTTATTGCCCATTCGCTGAAGATGATCAATTGAAGAATGTATTTAGTTATACATTGGAACAGGGACTTTTGAAAGTTCATAAGTATATGCATTATCCATGCCAATATAGAAATAATTGCAAGTTAAATATTTTCACTTTTTGTGGGGTCATAATCCTTTATACAATAATTTAAGCAAAATAATCCCACTCAGTTCTTCGGTCGATAATTTGTCTAAGATAGTGGACTTTTTTTTACTACCTGCCAATGTGAACAGGTTCCAGGTATTTGAGATCTGTCATATCTTTGCTTGAAACATTTTGAATACCAACTCCAAAAACTCGACATTAATAAAACATTAAAGTTCCAACTTATGCCCATAAAAGTCAAGAAATACAGAGTTAAGGTCGACCCAGGTCTCTTAACTCTGTTCTCCTGCATGCATGCATGGGTGATGGGGCAGCGGTGTGAACTGTTGCTTAAATCAGTCTTTCTGCATAATCTGAAAATGTAATTGAATTAGTGCATAAAGTATTTACATACCCTGCAGTAGAGAGCCCCACACACTATATTATCCACATTCCCTCTCAGGGCCTTCATTTTAACTCCTCACTGCAGTGTTCCTGCGAGGCTTCCTCAAACATTCAGAAATTGGACTTGCAAATACAATTTCCCTTCTTTTATGAGGCTTCAAGATGAGTGATGCACACTCAGCTTTCCTAGTTGCTTTCAGCTCCTGGCCAGACAGATAGAGTTTGGGTAACATTCTTCCTTTTGGTTAATATCCTCAGGGTTTGCTAGGTATTAGACAATGTCATTCTGTGGCTAAGGATTATTTTATGCTCTAATTCAACAAGATGCAGGACTGCTTGCCATATTAATATGAAAATTAAAAACATCAGATTGAATTTAAAAGCATAGTCATATAGCAGACTTTGGTTTCAGGTAGATCTATGTTCCCACGGAGTCCTTACTCTGCCACATACATTAGTTAAGCTTTCCAAATAGCTGTTTTTTTCCTCTATAAGATGGGGATAATAATCGTCCTCAAGATTTTTTCAATTCAGTGAGATTGTGAGAATTTAAAGAGAAATGTATGTAAAGTGCTTGGTATATAGTAAGCACTTAATAAATATTTGCTGTTATTATTAGCACTCATTTTGGTAGGAAATAATAACATATTGCTTCAATTCATTTTTTTTTTCTTTCATCTGTCATAGAGAATGGGATAGGGGCCTTCAGTAGAGTTTGAATGTTCAGAAACGTTAAAAATGAAGTTGAACAATAACCATAAAAAGAATGCTCATCCTCATCCATAGTTCAATAAATGTGCAGAAATATCATTTTTCATCATTCAGATTGGCAAAGATGAAAAAGAATGGTAATATCCAGTGCTGAGTATGAAGAAATAGGCTTTCTCATACACTGCTATAGCACTAGTGAACTAGTATGCCATTTTAAAAGGCAGTTTGGCGATGAGTATAAAAATTTAAAACATGCATCTTGTTTGACTCGGCAATTCTACTCTTATAAATTTATCTTAAGAAAATAATCAAGTACATGTTCAAGAATAGTCATGAAAGTCCTACTGAAAATTGGAAAGAGCTTAAATGTTAATATGGGACTGTTAAACTGTAGTGCAATCAGACAATGGAATACTATAAAACCATTAAAAATGAATGAGTTTTACATGTGTGATAGGTTGAATTGAGTAGTCATAAATTGTAGGGCAGACACTTGAAATGATTCCTGTTTTTTTTTTTTTTTTTTTTT